CTTGAGATCGAGCCTACCAGTGATGAAGTTTGTTCTGACGAAGTTTTTCCAAGGTATCTATGCGCAGGACCTTGCAGAAAAAAAATTATAACTAAAAAATCTCGATGCACGTTTGTTTACGTAAACGTAAATGACAGTTGTACCACAAACGAAGTGACAGACGACTAACTGGCGAAGAAATCAATTAAAATAATGTGGTTCGCTGTAATAGAATTTTCTTAGAAGCTTGAGCCATCATCCACCAGATGGGGTAGTATTTTTGTTTTGGTTTTGCACAAAGTTGATTTTGTGTACAATGATTCTTTGACAGTGTGCAAAGAGTGTATCATTTTGTCTTTTTTTTATGCATTTCTGTTTTGAGTAGAGTGAAAGAGATAGAACCAAAACATTCTAGTACATTTGGTGAAAATACTAGTTCAATCCAGTAGTAGCAACAATCAATACGAAACTAACGATTTAAAATTGGCTCACTACTTGACTAGCCTATTGGTCCCAAGCAAACGATTAACGTATCCCATTCCAGTCGAAATTCTAGTACTACGCAATGTTTGTTTTGATTCGCCATGAAAGTTTGACAGCTAAAATGAGGGGTTATTGTTTTTTCCTATGTTTCAAGAGGTGAATCGATTAGCTTGGGACCGAAGAGAGTACCAGAGCTGAGCCAAAAAGTTGAACACGTTATTTCGGGACCTTCTAGTCTTAGAGTTACCTCTATGGTAGTAGTGTTGCCATGTGGTACAAACCAGTAGTAGTGGTGTTGCCATGTGGTACACTGAAAAATTGCAATAGCAGGTTAGTCACCAAAGTTTTCGAGCCGCTCCGTCTGTCACTTCGTTTGTGGTTGTACTCTAGGCAGTGCTCCCAATATATTCAAATCAGTGTTGGAAAGTTCATTTTCAAAAAAAAGTTCTTTCGTAATTTTTCAGAGAATCATTTCGCTGAAGAACTAGCTATGCGAAAATCACGAACGAAATGAGAATAAAAGTTCCCGAACGAGATGTGCGAAACACTTCAGCAAACGATTCCTAAAGAGAATTTTGATTTCGCTCTCTCAACCTATTACATAAAAAACCGAGAAACGAGCTAGGTGAGGTTCTTTATCCCGCTTACTTTCTACGACTCTGCTGATGTCTTCATTTTCTAGATTAGGGGTTATGCTTTATGTATGATGCATACATGTAAGAGCTACCCGTGCGTTTAATTAGTGAAAGTATACATTTATAAGGTTTTCACTTTCTGTAACTCTTGTTTTACGTTACTCAATACAGCAATTCAAACTTCAATGGCTGCTCAAGAGTTACCAATAAAAAGTCCAAGAGTCATACTTCACGATCTATTTCATCATATATCGTGAACGAAAAGTTGTGCAAGGAAGCTAGAGCAAAAAATATCTTTTAACAAACTCTTGCAGGTGAATCAAAGTGGGAGTGATATTAGTTCCTCTCAATCTCAAACAAGAATGTTCGCTCGGAAAATACCGCTTTGCGAAATTCCCATCGTTAATTTCCCTAGTGAAAACATCTCGCTTGCGGTACTGAACTTTTGTCTATATTTCCAACACTGATTTAAATTATAATCGGATAGCTACTGATGTTCTGGGAATGTGCCGATAAGTGTGCCCTAGCTGTACCGAGTCTAGTTTACTAAACTAATGAATTGATTACACGCTTAAATAATAATGCCACGAATGCCACCTTTCTCACCGGGAGAGAATATTACCAACCGGTGGAAACTAACGATTTCAAATTGGCTCACACTAGACTAGCCTATCGGTCCTAAGTACATCGATCAACGTATCCCATTCTAGTTGACATTCTAGCACTACACTATGTGTGTTTTAATTCGATATGAATGTTTGACAGATAAAATGAAGGGTTCGTGGATTTTCATAGGTTTTGAGGGGGGTGCATCGATTAGCTTGGGACCGGAAAGAGTACCAAAGCTGAGCCAAAAAGTTTAGCACGTTTCTTCGGGATCTTTCTTGTTTTAGAGTTATTTCTATGGTATAACATTGCATCTTTTCAGAAAAAATATGAACAGGACCATATAGTTAATTTAAAATATTTGAAAAAAAAAATCTGAATGAATCCACCTATGGTGAAATCTGTCCCATCTTAATAATAAAAAATCCATCAGATATGAGGTATGAAATGGAATACAAACATACAAACCGGTCACAACATTTAATGAAATCACGAAACCTTTCATTTGGAGATTCTTGCATCCAATTCGGTTCTCTGTTTGCCGAGATACTCGAATAGGTTTCCTTAATCAGTGATGCAAAATATCATGACACTCACGTGACACTCGTCTTCGCATCAACCGACTATCGCTGACAGATCGTTTTGTCACGCAGTGAGAGTTAGAGCCATGGCAAACAACAATCACCAGTAATGGTCGCTGCTCACAAGCGAAACGTTACACTCGCTGCTGATAATGAAAAGCACAACGAAAACAGTGAAGACTTCTGCAGTACGATCATGAGAAAAAGCGAAACGATAGAAGAAAATGAAAACAATGCCTACGCATTCCAAGTTCGTCTTGGCAGGCGCGAGTGTGTGAGTTACAAACAAAGCAGGCAACATTAAACGGAAGCTGTTGGGCTCACTCACCAACACACTCACATAAGCAAGCAAAGCAGCAACTGCTTCAAAACGAGCACTGATGATTGTCGGGAATGACCAGATCGGTGATGGATCACAACAGAAGATGACATTCACCAGTTGCTTTTTACTTCTTTCGTCAACTTGATGGATGGTCATGGAGAGAGCTTCGACGAGCACATTGATAGGAATGTACAAAGCGTTACTACCATCAGCTGTTTGTTGATGGTGATTGTGATAGGTCGCAACTCTGTCCTTAATCCATGTTTTTAAGGTGTTGTTCGGTCCATATCTCCGGACCCAGTTGATCGATTCTATAAATATTTAAAAGCGTTTTATGGAACCGTGAAACCGTTCATTTGAAGGTTGTTGCCTCATTCTGTTAAGTGGTTGTTGAAAAACACGACTTAATTCCCTTAATAAGAATTATTATAGATTTTGAAATTTATATCGCTGTGAGCAACTGTAAACTGTAAAGGAAATGTAACTGTAACCAGGGGTTGAAACAGTTGACGTTTTTTACTACACTCGCTTCGTTGTCGTGCGCGACAGTCTGGTTTTATTCCTACACTCATGTTCTACCGTCGTCTCTCTCACACAACACAACCGGTAGAATAACATTCGGGGGAAAAGAAAATTATCAAATAACTATCATATGACATGAGTAATTTCGTTCTAATTCCTCAATTTAATGTAAATTAAACCATTTCTGATCAGAAATGTTATTCCTAGGATATCATTGCTTGCTATTTTCAGAACTCACACAAGCACAACATCAGCAGCTCTTATTATGAGAAAAACTAAAATACATACATTCGTGACGGTCTTCGGCGACAGTGTCATATGACAGAGCCTGTCGTATGACATTTGAGTTTGGTACTGTACTATGATAGCTTGTTTTCCAAGTGTCGGAGACAAAAGCAGTCGATTATCACAGAAAATGTGTCGACTACCGTGACCGCTTACAAGACTGACTGTAACTGTAGCAAGTTTGTTTATCTTTGTTGATCTGGTTAAGATATTACACACTTAGAAATCACTACCGACTTCGGGAATTTTTATCGAACGGTACAAATCAGGCATTTTGCATCGCACAGCATCCAATGATACAAATCTTCAAAACAAGGAAAACTTCACTGCAATGCACAGTGGTCTAGAAGGGCAATTTTTTCGAATAAATTTAAAAAATACATAAAAATGAGGTTTAATCAAGTTGGTGTATTGAGACAACTTTTTAGTTAGATTAAAAGGTATCTGGTGAATGGGTTGTCCATAAATTAAACTCCATATAACGTAACTTAAAAATTATAACTTTTTTGCATGATAATTTCAGAGGATTAAATATTCTTCAAAGTTGTAGAACTTATCAATTCCACAAACCTTGATGAAGACAACAACTTTATAATTTGTCATTTTCATTGAGATATGAAGCATTTTTCATGACACCCCTTAAAAATCGGTTTTTATTGTATCTTTTTTATTTGATTTTTTTATGGCACACTATGTTTTTGCCCCAATTTGAAATAAGACCTGTAGAAATTGTACGTTTTTATGAAATAAACGTTTGTATATGTTGAACCTTACTAGATATCATCTTGCAGTATTCTAGAAAGTTGTGGGTTTTAGAAATTGATAAAAAAAAACTCTCGAAAACATAGTGTGCCATAAAGAAATCAAATAAAAAAGATACAGTAAAATTTTTTTAAGGGGTTTCCATGAAAAATGCTTCATATCTCAACGAAAAAGACAAATTATCAAGTTGATGTCTTTAGCAAGGTTTATGGAATTGATAAGTTCTACAACTTTGAAGAATATTTAATTCTCCGAAATTATCATGCAAAAAAGTTATAATTTTTAAGTAGCATTCTATGGAGTTTAATTTATGGACAACCCATTCAACAGATGCGTTTTAATCTAACTAAAAAGATGTCTCAAGACACCAACTTGATTAAGATTCAGCTTTATGTACTGTGCTTAATTTATTCGCAAAAATTGCCATTCTAGACCACTGTGCAATGGTGAGACTCGATTATTTAAGGCTGGCAGTGTTTTGGAATTAAAATTAAGTGAAACAGCTGTTGAAATCAGGGTCAACGTTTTACGGAAAGTTCAGCTGTTGAAAGTTCGGTAAAATTTCCAAGTGTGTATACTTAATTACCTTAAAGATAAATCGTCCAGCTCAAACCCTGGCTGAGAGATCTATTTCAGTTGACAACGCGTCAAATAATGCCAGTAAATTATCTGCCTCCGATAAAACTACAGTAAATCAATTCCATGATTTCACGTGAATTAATTAATATCCTGACAATGTACTCGCCAGCGTATCAACCTGGTACATGTACTCGGTAGCGCATGCACCTAATCGACTGTTAATTAAATTTATTCTCTTCTTTCCAGCTGGAAGCCGAATCTCGAACCGATTTCAACGCGTCATCCAAGCTAACCGAGCTGCAACGTACCTCCCGATTGGTGCAACAGTTGGAGAACGTCGAGAACGAGTACGAAGCCATCATCAACAAGCTGCCACGTGACTGCACCCAGATCCAGCAGATGAAAACCCTGGGGGAAACCGGTCAGGGTGGCGAGGGAAATCTTTATCTGATTGCCCCAGCCGGTCAACATCACCCACTGATGACACAATGCTTCAACGAGTGGACAACCATCCAGCGACGCCAGGATGGGTCGGTCGACTTCAATCGTTCCTGGGAGGATTATGCTAATGGTTTCGGCACTCCGGCCGGAGAGTTTTGGATCGGCAACGAGGCGCTGCACCATCTTACGAACGATAACTGCTCGATGCTTCGGATCGTGATGCAGGATATCTACGATAATACTTGGTTTGCGGATTACGACGCATTCAGTATTGGCTCAAGGGAGGATGGCTTCCGTTTGGGACTGACCGGATACAATGGAAATGCTTCGGATGCTTTCGAGTATCAAAATCACATGCAATTCTCAGCCATTGACGTCGATCGGGATATATCCAACACGCATTGTGCAGGCAATTACGAGGGTGGTTGGTGGTTCTCTCACTGTCAGCATGCTAACCTTAATGGGCGTTACAATCTAGGTCTGACGTGGTTCGATGCATCCAGGAACGAGTGGATAGCGGTCAAGTCAAGCCATATGATGATCGCTCGAAGGCTGGAGTGTAGTATTAGTGGTGCTAGTGGTACCGGTCGAGGTGGGTCCAGTGGAGAGAGCCCGATTATGGCAGAACCATTTTCCTCCGCTGCTACGGCGACGATATCCAAGTATGAAACTACCCTGTTGACCACATTAACATCCGGCTCCGCCGGCTCGGGAGTCTAGGAGACTGTAGGAGGAAGGCACAATAATGTAAAATAGCCCCGTAGCACGTGCTCTGATTCTCTTCGGTTTGTACATTTTCTTACTAGAAGAGCGGACGGTGGGAGAGTTTTTCCGTTGTAAAATGTGTGTGTTTGAGCGATTGTGCTTGTACAGGAGAGTAGGGATAGCATCATATCAGTTGTAGAGATGTAGTAGCGGCAACCCGTTTGAGGCTAGCTTAAAAACCACAGATCAACAATTACCGTTCTCAAACCTAATTGATTCCGGTTCTCTTCTGTCGCCCACGGAAACCTCAGCGCATGTAAAAATCAAAACATAAATTTCCCCTCTCTAGATGATAAAAGTACGGTGCTCTATTCAGAAACCTTAGACCTCTGCAGTCGTACCACAAGGTCCAATGCTCTCATCCGGAGGCTTGTTATTTCCGGTTGATGCGAAACGGCGAAACTGAAGAGGAGCGTAAATATTTTAAACTGCCATCAGAAAGGTTAGGTAATCTTTTCCTTCCAACCACCACCGATCCACCCATCCACCCATCCATCCATCCATCTATCCATCTACATTCGCTTGTGAGCTCGTTAGCCTATCGGCGTGGTAGTGTCCTACCACCACCGTTGCCGACTGACTGCCAAAGCACTGGAATTTATTTTGCTTGATTACCTTTTTATGGGCTTTTTATCCTTGTTGTTCTGAAATTTTGCGGCGGAACGCTTTTTGAGTTGACGAACGCGTCGCGCGCACACTACACTGCACTGTGGCTGCTACACCACCGGTAAGCTCTCTCAGTTGGTTGTTGTTGCTGGTAAGGTTAGGATCATCAGTCTGAGTATCTGAGCTGAGCCGGACGACGCCGGTGTGTGCTGATGAAGTTGTAATTTTGTAGGCTTAATGCGGAGAAACAATAGCATGGTGTGCGCATATGTTTATCGATTGCCGTGTTTCTACCGGCTCAGATGACGGCGTCAGACCCGGCAAACGAGGACGACTAGCGGTGATTAGCATTTTTATTCTTGTTCAGAAATTAAAATCTATTTTTACTGCGCCACAGCTTTTCGTGCCTAATGGTGGCAGTTTGCTGTTTTTCCTCTGGATCCAACGGATGAATAATGTATGTCGGAATTATTAGAATACTGATGGGCTTGGTTTGAATATTTTATGATAACGAGTGTCATCAGCGTGTGATGTAACGTAAACTTTGTCGGAGGGCGGGAGTGTCCAGAAGATATGGTAAGTTTACTGCATTCAATAATAATTGCAGCGGGTATAACTTCATGTTTGCAAAGATCATGTAGAGTTTATTTTATTTATTACAGGTATATCTGTTATCATTTTTAACTTCCATTGCCGATTTCTCACAAACGATCATTCAAACCAGCAAAGTAATAACAACAGCGGACAGATGAGACAGATGATACAAATAGTACTTGGCTGTAGAGCATTTCTACTGAATCTGCATGAATTAGATACATTAAATTGCCCATCAATTGAGAAAACATGAGCGATCAATTAACCTAGCAAATTTCCCGGTAGGCATGAAATCGTGACATTCTCAGCAGTCTACCTCTACACAGCCAATGAGATCAACCCAAAATTGAGTTCAGTTTACTTATAAATAGCAAAAAGTACAGGAACTTAGCGATGAGTAAATTTTCTTCATGTTTTCCTGTGGAAATTTCTACTCAGTCTAAGAGTAGTACCAAGCCCAATAAGCCTTTTTAGGTTATGAACCATTTGCCGAGTTACATTTATCTCGTGATTGAAACTGACATTTCGAAAGTTATTTCTTATGTTCAAAAATCCTCGTGCTGTCGATCGACCGATTTTCGAGCCACGGTTGTCAAAATTTAACTTCTTGTCTGTCAGAAATAACCACCCTGGTAGCACGCTTGTCACAAATCGGTTGTGGCAACCAAGGTTGCAAATACTCATTTCAGATAAAACAATGTTTTTTTTTTTAAATTATGAAATAATTAGATGCCATGATCATATTTTGAATTGGTACGATACAAGAAGAGGTTGCCAAGAATGTGTTTGACATATTAAACCTCACAGCTAAAAAAAAGTAGTGTAAATTTCCGTTACTATGATGCACATAAATGGAGCGTCATAAATCATACAAATTTACATTATAAATCAAGTAAATTTATTAGACATGTCATGCAATATTCCATATATTGTATGCAACTTTCCACCTTTGTTTGCAACATTTCTGCAAGCTGCTAGTTTACGTGAAAAGGAAGTTTACATGCATGAATGTTTGCATGCATGGATGTTTACATCAGCAGTAAAATTCAGATTTTTTTAGTGTGCTGTTTATTTCACTGCATGAGAGTCACAATCAGCGATTTTTCACACACTCACTCACTCACTCACTCACTCACTCAGCGATCTGAAAATCACTGATTGTGACTCATAGAAAGCAAAATTGACAGGTTTTATGTTTCTAACGCATACTTTGTAACCTCTTCTTGTAAGTTACAAGTAAAACAAACCATCATAACATCGTTTGGTTTTATTATTCCGGAAAACATTATTTTAGCTGAAATGAGTATTTGCAACCTTGGTGGCAACTTCTATACAACTTATATCAGCCATAAACAAGTTGCTGCAACTTATTGTGACGGAAATGTGCTACTCGGGCATGCTCGAATAGCAAGGTTAATCGATAACTTTCCATCTGTCAAATTTTAACTAAAACTCTAAAAACTAGCCAAGTGGCTCAGAGCCTTAATAGAAACTAAGAGATCGACCTCTGGTGGTGACTTATAGAACTTCAAAAAGAGTGTTGTGAGTAGAAATTTTTGCCATGAGACATAGGAAGCTGAATAGTTTTTTTTCACGTTGCCTGATAAATTGATTCATCTGAGATGCTCAAAAACTTGTTCTACATTTAATTCTATATAGTTTTTGCCCAGGGGGGCGACACATCTAAATCTCAATTCTAGATGCTCGAAAAATCTCACACTAGCGAATCAACCTTCTAAAAATCTTCTTTCATTTCTCGCATCTACTTGCATCGCGCATCATCTTTTTGCAGGAAATCTCCAAAATCGTGAAAAATCTTCTTTCCGTCTACTCAGCGTACGCGCAGCTAGCCACAGCAAAACACAATATTTCCTGCATCGTAGATAGAGTCGTCCCCCTCGGTTTTTGCAAGGAGACTGCTGGTGTTTAGGAATATTTTTGTTGAGAAAAATTTAAATTTGGAAAGTTCCTTAGTGGTTATGATCTTCCGGATTTCTTGTGTGTGCATAGTTGAAGTGCGAATCAGTTCAGATCTGTGGAAAATCGTAAAATAAGACAATTGCCGATGGAAATTGGCAACATGATCAATGAAAAATGCTTCAATTTGCGTTGTGAAAAACCCTTATTCTGCTGTTAACAAACGTTTTGGTTGACGTTTCCTCTCGAACTCGCCTGGCACACTCTACATTTGTGGTGTATTGAAAAGCCTATTGACGAGTGCACGGATGGATTTGAGTTGTTGCTGTTGTTGTTGTCGCTGTTGTGTCACTTTTTGTCGAGTGAGTGAACTCAAATCCATCCGTGCACTCGTCAATAGAGCAGGCTTGCTGAAACTCCTCAAACTCACTGCAGGTTTTAAAAAACACTCATGTCCTGCGAGTTTAGCCAGCACTCACCTTGAGTGAGTGGCGGCAGGAATATAGAAGAAGTAAACAAAAACTCCTCGAGAGAGAGGGAGAGTGAACTTCAGTGAGAGGGTGATTTGACGTGAAGGGCGCTTTTCAAGACTCCGGATGACTTTTTTGTTCGACGCAAGAAGCTCAGAGTTCACCCAGAGTGAGAGTAAGAGCGAGATGGGAGATGACAGGTGGGCAGGAACTCACGGTCTCCCAGTGTAGGTGAGTTCTTTGCCAATAATGTTCACGAAAAGTTCACTATTTTGCTATACAGAAATTCAAAACAAAAATTTTTATCTGCGGATTTGGACAGTTTTTGACCTGTTTCATACGACCGGAAGGTGTATGCTGGTCACAAATGCCGTGCCAAACTGATTTCCTACGCAATTAATGAATCTTTGATGTGAATTTCGCTAATAAACACGAGGAGCATTTCTTATAGCAAACTTGCCATAACAAAATGGGCATGGTTCATTTAAGTAAACAAACTAACACTTTTTCCGACTGTGGCACCTCTCTTACTCGCCTGGGAGTAAGAGCGTGTGATAGAAAACATGAACATGAATGGCAACAAACCTCACTCTCATTTTATTTCCCTTCGCTCACAAGCTCTGAAGCTCAGTGGAATGATTTGGAAGTAGGCATTCTACTCCTCAAAAAAATGCTACGCTCGGCTCATTTCAAACTCGCGAGTGAGGCTCCATCAAGCCAGCTATCTCTATACTGAGAGAATCCAATTCAAACATCTTACATTTCTCTTATTTGGGATTTTTTATCCTGTAAGGGGCTGTCCATAAACTACGTAGACAGTTTAGGGGGGGGGGGGTTGACAATTATCCACGGCCCATATACATTTTAATTTTTTTGTATGGGCAATTGTCTACGCAGGGGGAGGGGGGGGGGTCAAGAATCCCAAAAAACTGTCTACGTAGTTTATGAACAGGCCCTAAAAAACATCAGGCAATTAACTCATCGCTTTTTGCGATTTATGAGTAAACTCAACTCAATTTTGGGTAGATCTCATTGGCCGTGTATGAGTTTTCTGGTTAACTCATATTCGTTTTTCACAAGTTGGGGAAATGGCTTTAATATTGGCCTATGGATCTAATATTGGGCCCATCGCTAAAAATCTGCTATTTATCAATTTTATCTAGATGAACGCCTACTAATGGATATTTTTGGTTGCTATTGAGAATTTAACCGATTGCTGAATTTATGTATGGGCCCAAATTAGAGGAATTTAGGCCGACATTACATACATTGAGACCGTAGATAAATAATGTGTTTCTTCTTCATTCGCACAAGATGCTTCACGGTTTGTGCAACCAGGATATGCGGTGGGTATATCTGCCAGTCAGCGTGGGACCAAAGCAGCTGATTCAGAGGCATATTGATTTTTGTTATATTAATGGGTAGAAGAAAATGCTGTGAAGAAGTTTGATCATTCTGATGAATGTATATCAAATTTATCATTCACAATTTTAGCATATCATCCACAATTGGTCTTACAACTTTTGATATAATTTTATACTCAGAAAAAATTCATTATAATTTTGATCAGGTTTTTCTACAATGTAATCTACTGTGCACCGTTATTCGCTAATTGAATTGGAACGTACTTATGGCTCAAGATCCTGTTCTTTGCCCGCTTGGCTGCCATACCAGTTTTGGGAACTCCTAGGGGAGATTATATCACTTGCTCGACAGAGCGCTCACACCGTCACCTAGTTTTCCCGCTGAATCACACTGTCCGGGTTTTCACTTCGTGTAACACAGGAAAAACGGAACCGAGTTTGCTCGCTTCATTCTACACCGCATCGATAAAATCACCCTTCAATTCCGAAGGAATAAAGTTCACCTTTCCTTGCCGTGCCGGGACACCATTTGCAGCGCCTATTTGGTTTGCTCTCCATGCTCACTCTTCTTTCCTTACTTCACATACGATTTCGCTAATGAACTTTTAGACTTATTCTGAACTCATTCCTTTACCACAACATTGATGTCGTTTACGTTTTTGCGACACTACACCGGTGTAGTGTAAGCAGCAATAAGCGTGAGTCATTGACAGCTCATCATAATTTATTCGTAAACAAAGGTTCAACCGATAGCTACACCCTGATTTTTTTCGGTGTTCGTCGGTGTAGCACCGGTGTAGCTACACCTTTAAACCGAAAACCACATTAGCTATAAAGTATCTTCCTGTGTGGGGCTCGTCTTTTTGACCAATTGTGCAATCATGTTGCTAGACGGAGATTCTTTACTGTTCCGTGGATGCGTATAGGCGACTTTGCCTATCGATCCACCGAATCCGATTTCGGCCCTTCATACAGCGACATGTTGAGGACAATCAGAGGTTATAAAGCTTGATCAAAGCAAACAGAGAAGAGAGCCCTCTGCCAGCGGACTTAGTTTAGGTGCTACAATGGGTGGTAGACCATGCATCAAATGCCCTCCGACGCAAACGCAACATTTAATTATCCCATAATTAGCAATTGTGATCACTTTTGTTCTTATACAATACGATACGTGCTTTGATTTATCTCATGGTTACTATTGGTAGGTGTACACTTAAGACAAGATGAAATGCGCAAGGAAGTTGAAACAGATAGCGTATTTGTAAGCGGAAGTGTGATTATCATTGAGGTGCATTGCGTGCTATCTCAAACTACTGGATTTAAGATAAACACAATGCTGATTCATTTCCGCCTTCCATTTTGACTTTCCCACTCATTTCAACTTGTCCCGGTGTACCATACTCAATTTTCTAATAATTTATATTTCTTCCCTCCTCATAACGCCTACTCCCGACAACCCCCTGTGCCTTCGTTGCGAAATGATGAATTTTCCAGCTCAGCTCGAAATGCTTGTTAAAACTAAATTAAATGAAGAAAATTCGAGAGAAGAAAAAAAAAGAAGAAGCAAACTGCACTAAACAACACAACAATACCAAAGAACACTGTCAACGGTGACTTTACAATAAATCTTGCAAACCATATCCAGAGTCACTAGCAAAACAGCAAAACTCCATTTGCTGACATTCTGCTACCATGGAAAGTAGGAGAAGTAAAAGTCCAGAACCGTTCGGTTTACAATGAATCAGTGGATTATATATGTTGCATGTTTTCAATCCAGACATAAAATATAACAAAGACGAATAATACACACACACACACATTTTTATGAGTAAACCGATGGACTGAATCGTATCAATAAGTAAGCCCGGGCAGTTTTCGTCCACGAGACGGTCAATATGTATTCACCACATATCAGAGAACAAACATTTCCCTTGTAAATACTACCAACTGAAAGTCAAATATAATGAAATCACTAATTTTATCAAATT